TATTCAACCTTTTTTGAAATAGCTGTATTTATATCTTTTCCTCATTGTAATCTATGGTATGAATAAAGCATTCATGAATGATGGATTTTCGTCATTAAGCGTCCCTCTTGAAACAAAGGATTTCAAGGTGATCATGGTATTACTAATAAAAAAGGTCCCTTATTATATGCACTTGTGAAGGCAACTCTCGTTGAAAAATAAATATAAAAATAACTGAATTATGCATTTTTAGCTTTCAATAGTTATTTCTGAAAGTCGTTGCCCTTAAATATAATATTAAATTCATAATTTCTTTTTTTTTTTTTCACAAGGGACCGGTCATAAAGTAAAAAAAGCTGAGTGGGGGAGTGGGTCGCACAACTTTGAACTTCTTAAAAGAGGCCCTCTTAAGAAGTCCAAAGTTGTGCGACCCACTCCCCCACTAGGCTTCCTTTACTTTATGACCGGTCCCTTGTGGAAAAAAATATAAAGAAATTATGAATTTAATATTAAATTTAAGGGGCTGTCTATAAAACTGTACATTAGGGTTGCGTCATTTTTCATTTCCTGCATGGAAACTTGTGGGGTGGGGGCATCATTTTTTCGACCTTATTTTAAGCTGGGCCAGCAAAAGGAAACCTGCTTCAAATCCCCTCCCCCCTTTAACTTTATGACCAGTCCCTAAGAACATAAAATATTCAGGGTATTTAATAAAGCTGTTTGCTAGTATAGTATATATCTTATATAAAACAAACAAATTTTTTCCTGAAAGTACCACATGCAGTTTTCCATAGTTTAGCCATTGCCTTGTTTTTCATTCAAAATATTAAGTAACAAACGTACTTACTTATTTAGTGTTTGCTTTGTCTTTCATTCAAATATTATTTAGTACTCTGATCGATCTAAACACGTGGGATGCAGACAGAGCATAACGAGAGAAACAAGGAACCACTCTGCTTCGCGTCATGGTTTCTTACGCTTCTCTCGTGCTTTTCTCGGCATCCCCAGTGTTTAGATCAGGATTTATAAAATAAATTAAATAGTACGCACGCTGTGATTGGTTGATAGCCATGTTTGCATGAG